GCATTTTGGTGCATGTTGGATCAATATTGGGCTCAAATGGATTGCATGCATAAGGATGGACGTTTTGGGCATATGTGTGTGCAAGTGTGTGTGTGTAATTGCAAGGATAAACAATGACAACTCATACACATGCAAAGAAGCCCACATGCAAAGTGAAAGACTCTAAGTACAAAGTATGCAAGAAGATGCATTTTGGAGGCCTTTGGAGCATGTTTCGGGCTTGGAATGGATAGCAAATGCATGGGCCAAAGTGGATGGACGAATTTGAGAACTAAAGAGGCCAAGAATGTGAAGAATTAGTGTCCAAAAGATAAAGAATTCAGCCCAAAAATGTCACTCCAAGTTGCACACTCCTTGCCATGCAAAACACATAGAATTCCCTTTGGATTCCCATGCCATGCTTGATCACTCTTGTCCCCTACATAATTTCTGATTTCATGCTTTAATTCATTTAATTATTTCACTCAATTGCTTGATACCTCTTGTTCCCTTCACCCATTAGATTTTAGACAATCTTTACATCCATTACATGCACCAATTGATGCTCCATCATTCACACATTTGGAATCCAATGGCATGTGTCACACATGTTGTTGCACCTTTGACCCATTTGTTGACACATTTCACCTCCCTTTCCATCTCTATGCAATGTACACAATCATTCATGCTCCCTAGCTGCAACACCACTCCATTTTACCTTTCACACTTTGCATCATCACTTCATTTTCACCCTTGGACCATTGCACACCACACACACCAACTTGCCATGCATTTCATCCCTAGCCTAACCTGATTTTCTAAGGTTTTTGGGGCCTATAAATACATGTTTACACCCCTTGGCCAAAGAACAATCCCCCATATTCATCATTTTATCACAGAAATTCGTCCATACACACCCTAGGAAGCAAAACACCCCAAAAACATCATTCTAGTGCCTAGAAAACATAACAGCCACTCCACCTTCTTCCACCCTCTTTGCCTAGTTCTCCACCACCTTCCAACCATCAAACACTCTTCCACACTCACCCTAAACCCCTCCATATCATTCCCCATTCATTCTACACCATAAATCCACCCAACAATCTGTCCACAAGCTTCATGCCGCAACAAGGAGGAAGGGAGATCCATTGATGCACTTGCTTTCCAAGTTGGAGCATTTTAGGTGTTTTCTTTCCTTTGATTTTAATGTCTAATTTATGTATCTTTGTATTGCAAGAATGAGGAACTAAACCCCCTTAGTTGGGGGTGATTCGAAACCATGTACATGCTTGCAATATGATTTGATTACATTCAGTTGTTATTTCATAAGTTGCGGATTCAATTCCACTTGATTGCTTATTTGATGTACTTGTTGATAACTTAGTTTTTTGTATGATGCTAGATTTGAGAGTTTTTCATTAGTTACAATTCAAGTAGTGAAGGATCGGAAGATAATTTGTTTCAATCAAGTACATAATGATTCATTGTGTCTAATTTGATGTATCTTTTATTGCAAGAATAACTAAGAGTACTTTTGAGATTCCCTTGTAACGTTTTGTGATTACTCTGTTTACAAAGAATTTGTACAGTGTGAATCAAAATTCCTGAATCATCTCAATTCTTATCTATTTGTTTGAGATTGTGTGTTCATGCATAAGAATTCTATGATGATATGTATGAGCTTTGGAGTTTCTCAAATACCTTCAATAGTTACAATCTTATAAGTAAGTAGTGAAGGTCGCTTAATTTGAAAACGAGCGTTGAATGAATTCTTGGCACTAGTTCAGGCTCATTGTATAGTAACGAATGCCTCAACGTACTTATAGTTCTCATTGTGCTTCATCATTTTCTTGATTGTATCTTTATGTTCTTTAAACTGTCTCAAACTAAACCTTTGAGGATCTAACCTTTAAACCGTTAAGGGAAGAATACTCTGATATGAATAAGAATCTCTGGCCAGAGTATTGAGATTTAGGAAGTCATTCCAAATCTCAAAGTTGTAATCATATAAGTAAGAGAATCACATTGGATAGTACATGAATAAACTATCAAACCAAACAATGTGGTTAAGAGTATTGTATTAGAGAAAAGATATGCATTGTAATCCTAAACTGAATAGGTTCTCACCTCTTCTGATTAGCCTGGGTAGCATAATATCAGCTCCAGAGTGTCTCTGTGAAGTTGTAGAAACTAAAATTTGTTAATTCACTAAAGGAAATTGAAGAATTAAGTTTCAAAACAAAGAGATGAGCAAGGATAATTAAATGGTTTAATTATTTATGGCTAGGATTAATTAATATGTTAATTAATCAAACGAATATGTTCGTTATAGACCTCAAGTTAGTTTTGGGCCGCAAGGCCCAATGGGATTTGAATGTCAAGCCCATTAACTTAAGTTGTATGACAACTTGAAACACAAAGGGCCTCAAAGCCCAAAAAACCCAATATGGCCGGCCATAAGAGTGAGGGGTAGTAAACTTGGCTTAATTGCAAGTTTGCCACTCCATTGTGAGGTGGTATAAAGACAACTTTATAGCCATTTCATCCTTAGGCTTTCTTTTGGAAAAAAAGATGAGAACACAAGCTCTCATTTTCTCTCTAAGAGGTCGGCCACCTTGGAAAAATTACTAGCATCTATTTCATCCAAGGTCACTCATCTCTTCATCAATGCTCTCCTTGGTGTAAAGACTTAGAGGTTTTATATTTTGGGAACTTGGAGAATCCATTCTACCATCCTCCTCCAAGAAATCCATGGAGCTAAGAAGAAAGGAATGAAGGCCATCTCTCTTGGGTGATTAGCCGTTACTTATGCAAAGAGGAATCAACAAAGGTATAAAAGGGTTATTGTACAAAATGGTCCCTGAGATTTGCATGATCAATAGAAATGGTCCCTAAGACTGAAAATCAATAGAAATGGTCCCTGAGATTGTCTACCATCCATGATGTTGGTCTTTCCATTAAAAACTCTTTGGGCAATTTTCAAAGCTTCATAACTCAATTGATTCTTAACCAAATTCGATCTATAATATATAAAATGAAGATAAGAAAGTGTAGAACAAGATTATACCTATTTGGAAGCCCAATGATTGCTTGAGATGGCCAGAAAATAGCCTGAAATGTCACTGGTTTGTGGGAAAACTGGAAAACTTGCCGGAAACTGGGTAAACTTTAAACGTTCATAACTTCTTCAATCCTCAAGGAAATCAAGTGATTCAAAAATAAAAATCATACTTCTCGATAAGACAAAGAGAATGGTATCTTTCTTTACTGATAACTTGTCGTGGTTTGGCCGGAAAACTGCTCTAAAGTGGCTAAATAAAAAATGGTTAGCCACTTTCGAGCCGTTGTTCGACCAAACCACAGCGAGTTAGCCTTCGGAAAAGGTACCGTTCTCTTTGTCTCGTCAAGAAGTATTATTTTCATTTTTGAATCACTCTATTTGGTTGAGTATTGAAGAAGTTATGAATGTTTGAAGTTTACCCAGTTTTCGGCAAGTTTTCTAGTTTTCCCTCTGACCGGTCATCTTTCAGGCTATTTTCCAACAATATTCGGCAACCGTTGGGCTTCCAAATAGGTATAATCTTATTCTACACTTTCTTATCTTCATTTTGATATATTATGGATCAAATTTGGTTAAGAAACGATTGAGTTACAAAGTTTTGAAAATTGCCCAAAATCGTTTTTAACGGAATGACCAAAATCATGGATGGTGGACCATCTTAGGGACCATTTCTATTGATTTTCAATCTCAAAGACCATTTCTATTGATCATGCAAATCTCAGGAACCATTTTGTATGATAACCTGGTATAAGATTTCTCAACTCACTTTGTTTTGAGTTGAGTCTTGGTTCACCATAACTACTAGGCTTGGAATTTCATGGGTTAAGTTTTGTTTTTGAGTGCATAAAAGCATGATTCCGTCTTTTAATTGTTAATAGCATGCATAGATGTTGCTCAAATGAACTTGTTTTCACAAATATTTCCTTCAGATTGCTCAACTTGGCACTCTTTCCATGAGTGAGTTCCCAGATGTGGTGCTGTCTTGGTGGTGGGAAAGTATCAAATCGGGCGAGCATAAGTTAGTTAGTTATGGTGGATGGATTGCTCTGGAAGGCTTACCGCCACACCTATGGACCAATGACCTTTTTCAAAAGATTGGCGCCGCCTGCAGCAGTCTAGTAGAAATTGATCGTAGAACTGCTGATTTTGAATATTTGCTTGAAGCAAAATTAAAACTCAAACAAAACACCACAAGGTTTATTCATTAACGTGGTAGAAGGAAACTCTGTTTTTAGGGTTAAAATCAGACAACTCTCGCCAACAAGGATATCTAAGGTTTCGGTAGCAGATAATGGTGATTCTCTTTACTCAAATATGTCACAACGTCCCATGATGGCTGAACTGAAGACACAAAAAGTGACCAGAATCTTCTTTCCGACAAAGACAATTTCAACTATAGAACAATAGTCAAGCCCTATAGCGGGGACAAGTGTGTGTTTTCGAATTAGAAAGTTTGAATGTCCTGTCACTATAGGTTTTGGCAGAAAGCAAGGTGTGCTGTTAGGATTAGAAAAGTTGACATAAGTTGGGAGCAACTCCTTAGAAGGAAAGTGTGTTATGGAGGATGAAGAGAAGTCTACAATAGGCGACGGGTATTATTTTAATTTGCCAAAAGGGCATTTTAGTAATATCCCAATTGGGTCTTTTAATTTTTTGAAAAGTAGGTTCTATAAGGATAAAGATAAGGCTTGGGAGGCATGTGGGCCTTCCACTAATGAGGAGGATTTTAATATTAACTATGCAAGAAAGGTGGGGTTTGGCCCACACAAACTTTTTGTTGGACCGCTTCAAGTTGGGTTGGCACTTAGGCCTCCTCAGTGCCCCATAACTTTAGAATTCAATGGGCTAAGTTTTCTGATCTCACAAGGAAAGTTTAGTCAAGGAAAATAAGCAGGCAACTTTTTCGGTGGAACCAAGGTACACAGTTTGGACGCCAACAGCAAGGAGCACTTCTCATATTATGGATAAGGAAACCGACTTCATTCCAACTCATTTTAATTTGAAATTTCTTGCGAAATTTGGAGACACCACTACTGTTGACAAAAGATTTAAACATTTCTTTCCAAAAGACTTTGGGTCGCAACAGTACCTCATCGAGGAAGCTAAGCCAAAGGAAAGTGGTTCATCCAATCTCCAACTCTTAGACGACGAATCTGAACAAGATGAAGAAATGGAGGAGATTGTGGGTCACAACCCACGTTGTTCACCACCAGTCTCGAAGCTGATGAAATTGGCCATCAATAATAGCTTCGCCAACAATTTTCGTTCAACTATGGATTTCGATTAGTCTTGTCAGGTCCCGCATGCAGAGGAAGAAATTGGTCTCAGCTATCTGGATCAGAAGAAGAGCTTGGGGATTCATCGAAATGAAAAGGTAACTTTTGATGTTATTGATAGCTGTGAAGGTACACTTCACAATCTCTTTTCCGATGGAGCCATAGAAATGACCATGGTGCCCAAAGAAGGGGGTTCTCTACGAGTAAACAAAGAAAACTCAGAGGTAGTGGAACAAGTTCAAATTATGGCAATTGAAGAGAATAAGAAGTTGCTAAAATATAGTAAGAGCAAAAGGTTCGATTTTGTCTCAGGCAAATGGGAGGTCACAGGCCGATCTAGTGATTTTATGTCAAACATGAAAATTTCGATGTTGCCACTAAAAATTCCTTATTTTGGAGAAAGAGCTCAGTGGCGTGGGTGGGAAGAGAAAAGAAGAGAAAAAGAAAAAAGGGTATGGTCAAATTTAATGAAGATAATTAGATGGAATATAAAAGGTTTGGGTAGTAGAAGGAAAATGGTACTTTAGAATGAGCATTTTCGTCATGCAAAGCTCGACATCATAATTTTGCAAGAAACAAAAACAGCCTTAATAGACAGAAAGCTAGTGGCAAGTGTGTGGGGAAGCAAATTTAAAGAGTGGATTTTTGCCCCTGCACAAGGAAGATCAGGGGGCATAGCAATGATTTGGAAGACAAAACACATCTCAGTAGTCGAGTCTCTAGTAGGAGCATTTTCGGTTTCCATCAAAATTAAAGCTTCGACTGGCTTAGAGTGGTGGCTCTCAGGGGTCTATAGCCCTTGCAAAAATATAGAGAAACAGGATTTCTGGGAAGAATTAGCCGGCCTTTATGGCCCTTGTGGTCCAAGATGGTGTGTGGGAGGAGATTTCAATGTGGTGAGGTTCGAAAATGAGAAGTCAAATGGGGGAAGGTCGACTACAAGTATGAGGATATTTAACTAGTTTATCCAAGATTCTGAACTCAAAGATCTGGAAATGCACAACGCTCAGTTCACTTGATCAAATTTTCGAGAAGAAACAGTTTGTCGAAGATTAGACAGATTCTTGTTCTCCGTTGGTTGGGAAGAGTTCTTTCCAAATGTAACACAAAAGGCTCTGGCAAGGGTAACCTCTAATCATTGCCCAATTGAACTAGATACCAACAAGGTGAAGTAGGGGCCAGTCCTTTTTAGGTTTGAAAATTCATGGCTACGACACCTAGACTTTAGAAACAATCTCAAAAAGTGGTGGCATTCTGAGCTAGTGGAGGGTTGGGAGGGTTACAAATTCTTAAGTAAGTTGAAAGCTCTAAAAAAGAAGTTGCAATCTTGGAGCAAGGAGGTCTTCAGGGACATTGAGAGAAATTTCAAGGAAACTCAACCCAAATTAGAGGAAATTGACATCAAGGAAGGGAGGGAAGGATTAGATTTTGATTAAAAAAGAAAGAGGGAAGAGCTACTTTTCCTAGTGGAAAACCTAGCGTTTAAAGAAGAAGTGGAGACAGAGAAGTAAAGTGGAGTGGGCCAAAGATGGGGATGGTAAGACTAGCTTTTTCCATATGATAGCAAGCGAGAGAAGGAAGAGAAATTATATAGATAGATTGGCGGAATGGTAAATGGGGTCGAGGAGATCGAAAACGAAATTATTAATTTTTCCAAATCCTTGTACATCAGCAATGAAGATGCGTGTTGGGGGCTAGAAGGAATTAATTGGTGCTCAATAAGTGTTATTGGGGTAGCTTGGCTTGAAAGGTCGTTCGAGGAAGCCGAAGTTCAAAAAGCAGTATTTGATTGCGGAAGAGATAAGTCCCCAGGCCTGGACGGTTCCTTTATGCAAATGTTTCAAAGTAATTGGGATATTTTGAAGGTTTATATCTTGAAAGTGATGGAGGAATTTTTCGAGAAAGGAATTATAAATGCAGTGATAAACGAAACTTATATTTGCTTAATTCTGAAAAAGTTAGATTCTGTGAAATTGAGGGACTACAAGCGTAGTTAAAGGCCAAATGAGGTCATGGGCAATACAATATCTCCATCTCAAGGAGCCTTTGTTAAAGGCATACGAATTCTGGATGTAGTCTTCGTAGCAAATGAGGTGGTAGAAGAGGTAAGGCAGAAGAATGAGGAGGGTTTGGTCCTTAAGATTGATTTTGTAGAAGGATTATGACCATGTCAAATTGGGATTTTTGGAAGAAGTCTTACTAAAAAGGGCTTCGGGTTTAGATGGAGGAAATGGGTGCTCGATTGTTTAAGTTCGGCAAACTTCTCAGTTATGATCAATGGGAGACCTAGGGGAATATTCAAAGCTTCAAAAGGTTTAAGACAAGGAGACCTACTGTCACCTTTTCTGTTCACCCTAGCAGTAGACGTGTTGAGTAGATTGTTCGAGAAGGCACAAGAAAATCACTTGATCAAAGGGTTGTGCATTGGGCAAGATAATGTGGAGATCTCTAACCTTCAATTCGCGGATGACACCAACTTCTTCTTGGCAGGGCCAGAGGAGGGTTGGAACAATTTATTAGAATTGCTGCATCTTTTTGGCATGGTTTCAGATTTGAAGATTAACAAAGCAAAGTGTTCCTTGGTGGGAATTAACTCTGATTATGAGAAAATCACAAGGTTGGCAAGTTCTTGGGGTTGTGAGGTGGGAAGCTGGCCAATGAGGTATCTGGGTCTTCCTCTCGGGGGAAGGCCAAAAACTATTAAATTCTGGGACCCCATTGGTAGAAAAGGTGGAATTAAGACTTCAAGGTTGGAAGAAAGCGTTCTTATCTAGAGGCGGAAGATTAACCTTGATTCAAGCTGTCTTGGGAAGCTTGCCAATCTACTACATGTCTTTGTTCAAAGCTCCTTGCAAGGTCATTGGTAGGTTGGAAAAGCTAATGAAAGGGTTTCTTTGGGAAATGGTAGAGGAAGGAAAGAAGAATCACCTAGTTAAGTGGGAGGTAGTAAGCAAAAGTAAGGAGGAATGAGGCTTAAGTCTGGGAAACTTGTGAAATCAGAATGCAACATTACTAGCTAAGTGTTTGTGGAGATTCCTACTGGAATCAAACTCTCTTTAGCATAAGGTGATAAGGAGCAAGTACGGTTTGGAGGCAAATGGTTGGGATGCTAATTGCCCGAGTCGGGGCTCGTGTTGAAGTTCTTGGTCAGATATCTCAGCCGGTCTTCCTTATTTTCTACACTCTTGTAAATTTACGGTTGGCAATAGGGAGAGGTTGAGGTTTTGGGATAATGGTTGGTTGGAGGGCGAATCGTTGAAAGAGCAATTCCCAAGATTATTTTTGTTATCAAGGACAAAAAACCAAAGCATTTCCAGTTTTGTGGTTTTTCTCTTCAGCTGGTCAGCTGGAATTTTGATTTTAGAAGAAATCTCAGTGAAACAGATATGGTAGAGGCAACTGGTTTACTACAGAAGATAGAGTCTGTGCGGCTGAGTCAATCTAGAGAAGATATTGGAAGATGGAACTTAGAAGGATCAGGCATGTTCACATGCAAATCCTATAACTATTTCCTTTGCAACAATGAAGATGTGCAACACTTCCCTCCTTTCTCTCAGTTCTAAAATGCAAATGTTCCTTTAAAAGTCAAAATTCTTATATGGTTAGTGGCGCTTGGGAAGGTTAATATGTGTGATCAAGTCCAAAGGCGAATGCCTTTTACATATTTTTCCCCAGTTTTGTGTATGTATGGGGAGGAGAGCGTCAATCATGTCTTCCTTCACTGTTCGTTTAACATACAACTGTGGTGGAAAATGCTCAAGGAAGTTGGAGGCTGTTGGGTACCTCCAAAGGCTTGTTTCGAGCTTCTAAGTACTAAATTTGACGCCCTAGGAAAATGGAGGAAAGCCAAAGCATTGTAGGGCTCTCTGCTATTGACAATTTTCTGGAATATTTGGTTGGAGTGTAATAAAAGACTTTTTGAGGATTATAAGGGAGTGGGGGTTGGGATAGAGTAAGACACTGGGCAGCTCTTTGGGCTTCAGTTTCAATTGAGTTTAGAGATTACCCTATCTCTTATATACTAAAGGATTTGTCAGCAGTCGTTAAATGATACTGTTTAGCCTTACCATTGTTTAATTAGCATTACCTTAAAGGTCCTTTCTACTTACTCCCGGTTCTAGGTGGAACTCTTTTCCACTTGTGTAAATTCTCCCTTTTATATAAAATTCTTTCGTTTCTTCTAAAAAAAAAAAAATACTAAAATTGAAAAACAAATTTATTCTCGATAGGAAACTGCTTCAACCGTCCAACTGTTTCACTCCGGAAGACGTCCATTTCCAGAATTTATAAATTTTAAAAATAACTGCAGAGCCAATGCCATTCGTCCATCCTACTCTCAACACCATATGGTGGATGGGTCAGAGCTTCATCATTGTCCATTTCCGCAATTTATTGTTTTGGAAGATGCGAGTACGGTTTTGCTTGTGGTGAAATGAATGGACAAGGATTGTTTGCCCTCCACTTCCGGTGCCCTCCCCGTGCCCTCCTGTTTGTGAGGTCACGGTTAAGCCACGTCAACATTTTATATTACTATTCATTTTTGTCTTATTATATCTATAAAAAAACAATATAAAATATTGACGTGGCTTAACCGTGACCACACAAAACAGGAGGGCACGGGGAGGGCACCAAAAGTGGAGAGCAAACAATCCTTGTCCGAAATGAATATAGATGGGATTTTAGTTTCTTTTCTTTTTTGGGGCGGGGTACTAGTTAAGTGAGTCAATATATTTTGCCAAATCTTTCTGATTGTGGGGTGTTCTAGGGTTTCTTTTGTCTTTTTCATCAGGAAAAAATTGGGAATTTAGTTTTGATTTTTACTGTCACTTTACTTTTGTGTTATGAAATTATACTTGGGTGTCTAAAAATGAAACCTCAATTTGTGTTCTAGACTTTTAGTTTGACATACATGTGGTCGCTGCCACCTAATGTTCCAAACACTACAGAAAGAAAAAAAAAAACACATTGGCAGAGTCGATGATAACTAATCAGTTGGAGTTTCTGTTATAATCCAAACACACTACCTAATGATTGATACCAACCCATTTTTGTTAATTTCACACTTTTGATCTTCAAGGCCTTTTGTCGATGCCTTTTGTTCAACAAGAAATTAGGTTCACATCCTTCTTTTTGCTACTTCATTAATTAAAATCCTATTCATTTTTAATTTTTGATCAAGGTCCTTGGATATTAATAGCATCATTAATTATTTGAATAATAAAATATTTTTATTTTTAAATATATTCCTTTAGTGTTAAAAATGTTACAATTAGTATATTTATATTTATGGCTAAATTTTTTATCATATATTTTTATTTTTAGTTTGTACCTATTTTTAATCTGTACCAATTTGTTTTTCATTTTTAATTTGTACCCATTTATTAGTTTCTTTTGTGCCCATATTTTTTAAAGTTTTATTTGTGTTTGTACCCATGTATATACAGTTACGTGACATTGTATATTTAATAAATGATAGAAAAATTACATATGGTATATTTATGTTTTATGCCTAAACTTTATATCATATATTTATATTTTTAGTTTGTACCCACTTTTAATTTGCAACATTTTTTTTTAAATTTGAAGTATTTTCTTTTTAGTTTTATTTTGTACCCATGTATTAATTTCTTTTAGCGCCTATATTTTTTTTTAAATTCATTTGTACTCATAATTTTGTAATCTTTTATTTTTACCCTAATTTATTTATAATATACTCATTCTTCTTTATTAATGTACCATTTTGTTATATGTGAAATGTACGATTTTTTTTTTTTTGTAAAATGTACCGATTTTTTTTAACACTATGGATACTTTCTTTTTCCATTTATTATTTCTTATTTCTACATAGTTTTTATCCATTTATTCAATCAAAATGTTTGAATTTTTTTTATTCTAACTATTTCTAATAGTATTATAATGAGGGATTTTAAATGTATAGGATTATAAATCTTATAAAATATCAAACAATTAATGTCAAAACTATAAAAATATAAATATTAATTGTAATATAATGAGGTGTACAAAGTCAAGGGACTTTGATCAAACTTTGAATATCATTAAGGTTTTAGTTAAAGAATGTTAAGGATTAGGGATCGCATCCAAAGTATCCCTTATTTTAATTTTGGACAACACCATGTTAAGTAAAATTTATCCTAGTAATGATAATAAGAAACTCTCATAATAAAAATAAATAATGACTAAAACTTTTTTTTTTAAACTTATACAGAATAATAATACAAAACTATATATTTAATATAGAATATATTGTGTGTATTAATATGGCTGTTGTACAAACATGATCCAAAAGATTTATAATAAATCTTTTAGCAATATGACTATTGTATATATTGTATATTGTTATATAGAATATATTGTATATATTAATATGGCTATTGTATATTGTATATACTAAAAGATTTATAATAATAAATCTTCTAGTAATTAAACTTTAAAATTATCAAAATAATTTTTTTTCTTAACGGGTCGAAACAGGTCACCCACGTGTTACCTGCGTGTATACCCGTTAAGAACCCGTTAATTACGGATTCTTAACGGGTCGCCCGATAATGACCCGATTAGTTATCGTGTTGACCCGAAATCCGTTATTTTCGTGTCGTTTTTGTGTTGTGTCAGAAATTGCCAGGTCTACGTAGGACCCCATAGGGGTTTAAAAGTCTTTTTATAAAAGAATAAATATGTCATTAAAATTTTCATTAACAAGTGGGTGAGAAAATAGGTCAATAAGATGAGTTTAACTGCACTCTTTGTCAATATAATCCTTCAGTCATCGGGGTTTAGATTGCCTTCTAACAGTTTTGACGTCATCATAGGGTTTAGCCATTTAGGTCATGACGACATTGCGGACAAAGAGAGAAAAATAATGTCATCATACACTGGCGTTTATACGACGTCATCATACATTGATACGTCACATGAATACATTAAATCTTGATATACCATATCAAATTAAGGTGGTTGGAAATTATGGTATCTCTAT